ATTCTGTGCCACATCTGCCCATCCAGATGTCTCTCTGACAGGAGCACACAGCACAACTCACACCATGACAACTTTCGTACAAAACATTGGCTAGTGCAGGAAGATTCACTAAAGAACAGGAAAGGTGTCAGTGGGGTCAGAACCCACAGTGCATTACCCCATACCCTCCAAATTGCAGTTGGGCATTCCTGCTTCTTCTCCAGGGTCCCACCCCAGGGAACACAGGGTCCCCTCTTTCTGTCACTCTCCACCCTTCTCCCCTTTCTATTTTTTTTCTTTTTGAAGTAAAGGGTGAAATTTAATAATTATCTACAGTACACTGCAAAATATGAAATTCCACAAAGAGATAAGAAATCCCCTCGGAGGACAAGCTTCATAATATTATAATTTCAAACTGTTCAAATATAGTTTATTTGTAAAAAGTGCCACAATAAAAAGCTGGCCATGGTTGTGCATGCCTGTAATCCCAGCTCTTGGGAGGGTGAGACAAGAGGACTGTCACAAGTTTGGGCTAGTAAGTTCAAGGCCATCCTGAACTACATAATGAGACTCTCAAAAAAAACAAAAGTGCTATAATCACAAAGCACATTTAAAAAAAGAATTCTTAGTAAAAAAGCAATGCATCAAACTTATACTGAATATACAGAGTACACAACAAAACTTGATGCCTCCTTTATACAATCTGCTTAAAGGTATTAGGAGCTCCATCCTAAACCTAGAAAGTGTCATCTTCAAAGGTAGTTAGCTGCTGGCACAACATTTTGACCTTCCTCTTCCTTAACTGAGAAATACTTCTCAATCAGGCACCTAAAGGACATAATATTGAATTACAACAATGCATTCCATACTTTCCTATGAAAAATTTGTACTTTAGCATTATAGTAACTGGCTGTGCATCTCAGTAGCTGCTCCTGAGGGATACAGGAAGCAATATTTGTATTTACCCACTTGGTACCATGAGCAGCAAGGTGTATGCCTGTGTGCCACAGTGTCAAGCTGGGATTTTTATTCACTTAATACTGTCTAACAAGATTTGACAGAGTTTATCTGAGCATCACAGGGGGTAAAATACACCCCACACCACTCCTTTGTTATAAAAATATACATTTTAACATAATGAAATGTGGGTGTGACTCACAATATGTAGACCCAGGGAAAGCAAAAACCCATCTGTGCATTCACATACTTGGCAGATGAACTGCAAGGTGTGCACAGGAACTCCAAAGCAACAACAGGTGAATTTTACCCATAAAATGCTCATTGCTAAATTTCTGTGCATTTAGGATTTGGTTTTTTTAAGTTTTCTTTGGATTTTTCTGATAGAGGTAGCCCAATTCAGCACAATGGCACATGAAAACCCAAATTAGTGAGTTTTGGAGTTCAAAAGTGAATCACCAGGTTACTAATGCATGGATGATGAAGATGATAATGACTTTGCCATTGGTCATGTGAGCTAAAGTTCCTGTGACAGTGAAATGGAATAAGAAACAACTGATACAGATACAGGGAATGCAGACCACTTTGATTCAGATAAAGAAGAATACAGCAAGTGGTCACACAACCAAATGGAATAATCCAATGTTAGAACTGGTCTGAAAATATAGTGAGGATCTTGGCAGGGGTAAAATCTATTAGACAGAATACCAGCACTGCCATTCACTGTTGAAAACTGTAACAGACAAGATGCTACAGGATGTGAAATACACAAAGGCTGAAATACAAGTAAAACATTCTATGCATACCAATAGCCATACTCAAAAATGTATTTATCATGACACCTCAGTAGCTGAACTAAAAGCATTCATAGGTCTGCTGTACTTAGCAGGGGTTTCTCATGGTAATCACAAGACTTATAGAAAATTAATGGGTCAAAATATGGCATAAAAATTTATTCCCTTGCAGATGCAAAGACATTATGCCTTTAGTTTAGATGTATGCTAGAACTCGGCCATCAGGTCCTTCTTCATACAGTTATAAACCAAATGATGTTGTGAGCAGACTTGTTGCTCCCATATCCCAAACTAATCAGAACGTGATATTCAACAATCCAATTGGTTTACCAGTTTTCAATTGATGTTACATTTGCTAACACAGCACAAGTTGACCAGCATAGGAAATATACCCAGAAAGAAAGTAGAAATTTCAAATAAAGTGTTGCAATTTTAAAACAGAAAATTTTATAGTACTATCTTTGATTTCAGAAAGATTTACAATGACTTCAAATATGGAAAAGGAAAACAAACTGGTACTGCTGATGTCAACATTGCACCGTGATGAAAATATTGATAGGGAAATCTCAACAAGACGGAAGCCTGAGATAGAAACTTTCTACAATAAAACTAAAGGTGGAGTAGATGCAACTATGATGTCTCTCAAAACACAAAGTGTTGAGCCAGGTGTGGCGGTGCATGCCTGTAATCCCAGCACTCAGGAGGTTGAGGCAGGAGGATTGCTATGAGTTTTAGACCAGCCTGAGCTACACCGTGAGTTCCAGGTCAGTCTTGACTACTCTGTGAGACTCTATGTAAAACCAAAACAAAACAAAAAAACACAAAGTGTTGGACAATGGTGGTGTTTTACTCAACCCTAAACATGTGTGACATAAATAGTTTGACAGTTTACAAAGAAAATAACAAGTACAAAATAACATAGAGAAAATTTCTTAGAGGATTGGGACTGGAACTCCTAAGAGACCATTTACAGCTGAGGAAAAACAAAACATTTCTGCCAAGGGAACTACACAAAACAAGTTGTGGAGCCCACTTGATGAAGTGACAGCTGAACAAGCAGGTGCAGCACCACAAAGAACTAACAACAACAGGAAAACCAAAAAGATGTCAACTGTGACTCTAAGGAAGGATGGGAAGGGCTGGGGATTTAGCTTAGTGGTTCTGCTGCCTACCTTGAAAGCGCAAGTCCTGAGTTCAATCCCTGGTACAAAAAATAAAAAGGACAGGAAGCTGGGGATTTAGTTCCGTGGCAATGTGGCTTGTAAACACAAGATCCTGAGTTCAATCCCCAGGACTGGGGGAAAACAAGAGAAAGAAAATAGAAAAGAAAGGATGGGAAAACAAAACATGCATGCTATCATTGTAAGTGATACTTGTGTATGGAGCATGAAGTTTTCATGAGTGAAGACTGCCTTGGGTGTGACAGTTGAAGCAAAGATCATTTCTGTGGTAGGTTTTTGTTTGTATTTACATAGTAGTTAGCATATTTCTGATATTATCTTTTAGATTTTGTAAGCAAGTAAACAGCTAATGTGAAAATATTGATGCCTATTCTAAATACTCATTACATATTTGATATTTTATTTTATTGATATATTAATTTCCTGCTATGTGCACAATGTACAAAATACAAAGAAGCTCCCGACAAAATAGGAAGAGAAAAGAGGTGACAAGAACAGCCTACCATATAGGAAAGGAAAGCTAAGCACATGTGCTGAAAGTGTAAGCAAGATGTGTACATGGAACATGCAATTATCACATATAAGACTGCCTTGAAAGTGACAGTTGAAGGAAAGGTTAGTTTTGCTATACAGTTCTATTGGTATTTTCATTGTAGTTCATATAGGAATTTACTTCTAATGTTATCTTTTAGGTTTTGTAAGCAAGTGCACAGCTAATGTGAAAATGCTTATTCTAAAAGCACAGTACATATTACAAATGTACTTTATTGATATTTTATAGTTTTGTTAACTATACATTGTGTAATATAAGAACCTCCTGACAAAACTACATGACAAGCAAGATATGAAATATATACTACAAAAAGGCCAAGAAAACAAAACACATGTACTGTCAGTGTAGGCGATATGTGTGTATGGAATGTGCTATTGTCATGTGTGAAGACTGCCTTAAGTAAAGATTTCTTTGATAGAGTATTGTTTTTCAGTTGTTGTTGCTGTTGTTTTGTTTTTTGGGGTTTTTTGGTACCAAGGATCAAACTCAGGACCTTGTACTTGCAAGACAGGTGGCGGAACCACTGAGCTAAATCCCCCGGCCCTGGTATTTCATATAGATTTATTGGTAGTTCATATAGGAGTTTACTTCTGTTGATATTTTTTAGACTTTGTACACCAAAAAATAATTTATGTTGAAAGTTTGTTGCTTTTTTATGAACACTCAGTAAATATTAAAATTTCAATATTTTATTTCTTTGATATTTTTTCCTGTTAAGTACTAATTGTTTAATATGATAAAACAAAAAATTAAAATTGAGAATTCATCAATCAAAATATTATAAATAATAAACATGAGTATTATACACCCAAGTCTCTGTGCCTTTATGAGAAAACTGGCATTATGCCCTTAATGAAGCCTTGTACATACCCTCATTTTCATGGTTCTGTAGAGCTTCAATTTTGTCAAAGCTCCCACATTCTTCGACCATTACACTAAATTTCTCAGCCAAATCTTTCTTGTTGTCTCATTCAGAGTAGCTCAAACCCTTTTTGTGACCTGAGACTCTCTACCACCCAAGCCTATAGAGTCTCGCTCCCTTCCTCAGTGGTTTGTTAAAAATCTTTCCCAATCAAAGATAGCTCCTCCTTGGGGTGAAAGTTTAAGTAACCACTGGTCCTACACTCAGACCAGGCACAGCAAGAACCAAGGGGCCCCACTGGTTCAGTACATCACCTCCCTCCTCTTCAGCAATGCCATCAACAGTACAAGGCACAGCACATTCCCTGCCTTAAATTTCATTATGTATTCAAATAGTTGGACCTAATCCTTTAGGTCCCTTTAGCTCCTTTAGGACCTTTAGGTCCTTAATCCTTTAGGATTAGGGAGGACCAGGGATTTTTCCCTAGTATAGGATCCATTCAGACCCCACACTTGTTATGTACATTTTCTGCTTTTATGTGTCTCTCAGGATCTGTATGTGCCATTATTACTTTCCAACACAGGGTCCCAGAGTCTTCCTCTCCCTTCAGGGTGTCAGAACCCCAAACTTGAAAAGCCACCCACTTGACTTATGTGGTATACTACTGCTCTGACCTTCTGAGACCTCTTGGCAGTCTTCTCGGGATTCTGGTAGTGGAGTTAACCTGAGGCTGCTGAAGAAGTATGAGGAACTTCCAGAGGGCTCAGCTGAGAAGATGTCTGTCCTAGGTAAGGTGGGCAGAGCTGAAGACCCTGCCAACGAGAAAGTAGCCCTGTGATCTGGGAGACCCAGATGGCTGTTCCACAGACAATGGAGCTCCTCCAGACCTATGTGTGCCTTGCAGGTGCTTTATTTCTGTTGGTCAGAAGAATCATCCTAATAAGACAGACTGGATCAAGACACTTTGCTGCCATCTTCTGGAAATTTATAATAAATAAACTAAGGAACGCTTAGGTGGGAGCACACCAGAATGGGACCTGCCCTTGTCCCAAAGGACAGGTCCCAGTGGAGACATCAGGAGGACCCCTGCCCACAGGCAGCATCTGAGCATCAGCACAGCAAAGCCCTGCATATCCTATCCCCGCACCACGTGGCCAGCCCCTTGCTGAGTCCAGGAATAATTGCATAAAGGCAGGATCTCTCCATTTGCTCAGGCTTTGCAACAAAATAGCCCAGAAAAATTCTTAAACTAAGGCAAAAAAAGAAAATGCACTGCTACAGTACCCAAGAATAAGTCAGACTGAGGTCCATGAGCTACTTCTCTTATTTTCTGTATTCTGATCCTTTGCTGATCCTGGAGAGACTGCTCATCTCAGAGAAGGCCAAGTCCTACAGATAGCAAACTGCTTGCCTGAGAGCTAGCTTTTCTGATGCACCACCAGTTCAGGACTTCTCTCTTTTCTGAACAGCCTTGCGCCCCTCTCCTCCTTCCTGTGGTTTTCTTCCTTTCCCACTAGTCTCCAGTTAGGCTGTGTGTACATCTGTCTCCCCAGCTCTCTCTTAAGTACCTCCAGGGACATAATGTCTTGTGCCTGGCCTGAATCTATAACAACGAGATCAGCTCAGTTCCAACCCCATGGCTGTTCACAACTTCCCTCCGAGCCAAACTGGATGGAATGATGCAGTCTTTGACCTCAAGACCAAGGAGCAAACATTGTCTTGGATATCAAGAAGGAATGAAGGCACAAGAGAAAAGGCAACCAGGATGCCCCTGAACCAGGTCTTGGGAATTACACATAGGTGCTGTGAGCACCATCGATTCATCACTGTTTGGTTAGAAGAAAAAAAAAAATCATGTTTTCAGAGCAGGTGTGCTTAATGTGGCTAACAGCACATTTCCTCAGCAGTGAATGTGAATGTCTACGAGCTTAGACACTTTCTAACTTGCCACTGTTGCATTGTCCCTAATACCTGAAATCCACTCGGATACTTTATCTGTATAGCCACTACTGCAATCTTAGGGTTTATGACCCTACAAGTATTTTGGAGTCTAAGAAAATAATGCCTTTACATTACAGCATGTGGATTTTTTTTTATCATTCTTTCTAAGTGTATTTTATCATTATTGTTATCCATTTTCCCTGGATGCGCCAGTGATGAGGTTGAGGAAGGATACGGGAAAATACCAGGGACTTGTTCTCATGTCAGCCTTGCTTTACAAGACAGTTTCTCCAGGAACCACGAGTGAGGCTCAACCCTGGCTGAGAAGGGTAGCTTTTCTAGAGCCCAAAGCCTTGGGGCAGAGCTGGGGAGCCTGGTGCTGGCCCCAGTCCACCAGGGATGCCACTCCCAGGAGCAGAAAAGCATTAGCAATTCATCAAATGGAATCACCACAGATTGCATCCATGGGGCTAGATGAAAAGAGGAAGCTGCAGGATAAAGTAGATATATTTCTGATTAGAATTTCTCAGCCCTGAGCTACTGTGTATAATGAAAGTCATCACTGGAGGAAAAAAAATAAAAAGAAAAGGAGGGAGGGTGCAGAGGCAGTGAGAGTTTGTTTCCTGCCCTGATCTCTAAAGGAGAGGGGCCCAAAGATCCCTTCATAATTCACTTTCCTTGGGCTTCTGTAACTTCCTGTCTCCCCTAGGTCTGGCCATAGGGATGAGTCACAGGGATCCCAGCCCCTCACCTCACACCACAATATCTGGGCAGAGACCCCTAATTTTTCACATGCTTCCTGCATGGTTCAAATGCACAGTCAGACGAAGACTGGCTTTTCAGGTCTTTCTTTGATGTTTTAAAATATGTTTTTACACATTATGGCACAAATACCACAAAAGGCCCCCTGACATTTCAGGGCCTATCGATCTGTAATACATCAGCTGATCCCCTATTTTGTGCCTTGCCCTGACTCTGCACAGGAGATCTAAAGATGCAAAAGGAGAAGTCGGCCAAGGGACCAAGCACTGGCCAAGGGGACTTCAAAGTACACTCGAGACAAATGACAAGAAGCAGGTTTTGAGCAGCCAGGGTTTGTGTTCAAATGAGTGATACCTCTGGAGAGAGTGGCAGGAGTGGATCACTGGGTAGCTGGGAAGGCTCCATGGAGGACAGGGTAGGAAGGAGGCTTCCCACAAAATGCTAGAGGGTCCTCAGAAACAAAAGAGACAGCCAGATGCCTACCAAGTCCATTATGGCAGCCTTCTGGTTACAGTGTGGTTGCTGGTATAGGCTTCCAGCTTCCCAGTAACCTAAGTTTAGGTCATCAGAGGGGAACAGGACTGATCTATGTGTACGACATCTGGGTCATATTCAATTTAAAAGAAATCCCCTAGGCCTGGGGATTAATCCCAGGGCGTTTACTCAGAGCTACATACTCAATACTTTTTTCTCTCTCTTTTCCTGAGATAGGGTCTTTCAGAATCAGTTGAACACCCAAGCTGGGCTTGAGCTTCTGATCATCCTGCCTTGGCCTCAAGAGCACCAGGATTACCATTCCCAGATAAGGCAAGCCTCTTTTCAGAAAGAGTTTTAACCAAGGAAGTCACAGTCCAGTTCATGTTTTAAAAAGTAATGAGTGGTGGGCTGGGGATTTAGCTCAGCGGTTCGGTGGCCTGCCTCGCAAGTGCAAGGACCTGAGTTCGATCCCCGGTACCACAAAAGAAAAAAAAATTGTAAAAAGTAATGAGTGGTGCTGCTTCCTGCCTCACAAGCACAAGGTCCAAGTTCGATTCCCGGTACCCGCTTCAAAAAAGTGCTGAGTGGTCAGCAGGAAACACAAGAGCTACAGAAATTTGTAAGATGCCTTTCTTTCACCTTGGGTCACTAAGGAAAAGCAGGAGGCAAAAATCAAATGAGCTGATAGGGGAGAGGGATATTAGTCAGATGAGTGAGTACATAAAGGGGGCATTGTCACCTAACCTCAAATCTCCAAATGCCACTTCCTGTCTCATGATCTGTCCACCCTGCCAACCTTAATGCACAGCACACACACACACACACACACACACACACACACATATGCACCCCAGTAAGACAGCACCGTCCCACAACCATCACTAATGCCAGAGAGGAGGGGACCCATGGCCATCACCCTGCACATCCCAGAGGAGGACCCCAACATAGGAAGCAGCCCAGAGACTGTCCTGAACTCCTCATCAGGGACATACAGCCCTTTGGGTTCACTGGTGAACCTGCAGATTCTTTGGGGAGTCAGAAGGAGGAGGGAACTATCTCTGATAGAAAACAATCTATGAAACAAAGGAATCATAACAAAAAAATGCTAGATTCCTTCATAACATGATGAGTGAGAGAAGGCACATTTGGCCAGATGAGATAGTATAAGTTTCAAAGAGAAAGCAAGAAAAATGCAGCACGCACTTCATATGTTAAAACTTCATCCATCTCCTGACGCCTCCACCGGGAGGGTTTCTCTCAGCTGAAAAATAAATAACTCAGCGATTGAGGATATAATCAGAGCTCTTGATCTGGAGTGTGACCTTCCACTTTTCTCTGTTTATTTTTAAGATTAATCAGAGTCTTTACTGGGCTCGTGTCAATAAACAAGAGGCTTTTCCAATATATACCACCTGCACATCCAATATATCCAAGAAAATAAAAATATATCCAGGGGGATTAGTACCCATGAATCACCAGGAGCCAAAGCAAAGTGCTGTAGATTTTAATAGCCCCAACTATCTGTCTCTTCTAAATGGAAAAGAGGTCAGCCCAGCCAGCCCCTGCTAATGAAAAGGAAATAGGATCTACCCAGTCTTTTTTTTTTTTTTTTTTTTTTTTATTTTTTTGGTGCTGGGATTGAACTTAGGACCTTGCATTTGCGAGGCAGGTGGCAGTCCAGTTATATCCTTGACAAAATATTTGCTTGAAAAACAGCTATGTTTTCATGGCTGTGCTGTGTGTAAAAACAGGCCTCAAAGCTGAAACATAGCCCTGAGAAAGAATTTAAAAGAGAAGGAAAAGCTGGGGGTGGTGGCGCACGCCAGTAATCCCAGCACTCGGGAGGCTGAGGCAGGAGTATCGCTGTGAGTGCGAGACCAGCCTGGGCTACATAGTGAGTTCCAGGTCAGTCTCAACTACATAGTGAGACCCTGTCTCAAAAAACAAAAAAAATAAATAAATAAAAGAGAAGGAAAAGGGGTAAAAATAAAGACAAGGGTTTCTTCCAGCAGCAAGCTGGGGATATTCAACAGAGGCGGCTTTGCAAATCAATAAGAAAATGACAAATCATTCAATAAGTGGTGCTAGGACATTTCCTAATCAAAATGGAAACAAAAATCAAATTCCAGTCTTCAAACGGCCTACAGAAATAACCCCGAAAGAATTAAGACATAAATGAAAGAAGCAAAATTTCAAACTTTTAGGGGAAATGATAGCAAATGCTTCAACTCTTAGGTGAAGTGTGTTAACCAGCTGTCTGGGGCTGTTACGAAATACTTGAGGTAAACAGTCTAGAAGAGGAAAGGTTTCTCTTGGCTCACATTTTCAGAGGTTTCAGCCCATAGGCAGCTGGTTTCATTGCTGGGAGGTTCAGGAAATGGAGAATTTCCAGGCTGAAGAGCGTGCTGTTACAAAGCTGCTCACTTCACAACGCCAGGGAAGCAGAGAAAGAGCAAGAAAGTCCAAAAAGAAGGGACAAATACACCCCTCCAACTCATGGCCTCCATGACCCAGTTCATGCAGCCAGGCCCCACCTCCTGATAAGCCCACTGAGCTATGAACTCATCTGTGGGTAAACCCACTTGATGAAGTCAGAGCCGCCATGATCCAACTGCTCCCCCAAAGCCCCGCT